AGGGATGTGAAGGACTGCGGACAGGCTAGTCAACAAGTCACCCCTTCCGCCCCTGCTACCTCTATCAGAGGCCGCCACGGGGGGATGGGGTCGGCAGCGGCAGCAGATGGGGTATTTCAAAGCAGCAGCGCTGCAAGGAGCCTGGGGCCAGACCCTGGGCTCTACGCAGTGCTGCCGCTTTGAAATGGTGTGTGCAGCCTGGGGCCAGCTGGGGACTCCCCCGCTAACCCCGGGCTCCATGCGGCACTGAGGCTTTGAAACGCTGCACGGAGCCTGATGCTGGAAGCCCGGGGTCAGCAAGGGTGGGGGTGTTTGTGTCCCTAGCTGATCCCAGGCTCCACAGGGTGCTGCAGCAGTGAAATGCCAGGAGGAGCATTGGCTTATGGGATAGTGGGCTAGTCCTTAACATCCCTCATTGCTACACTTCAAAGGCAGAGGTGCCCTATTGACTAATTGAATAATCAGTCACTCACAATTTAACATCCTTAGACCAAACAAGTCATCAGCATAGGCTAGTGAAAGTCCAAACCAAACTGTACTGAGTTCTCAGTGTCCTGAGGTCCTTGCTTTAGCTGCTTCTGCTGGCGTGCGCCTGGCAGACGCTTCTCTGCACATTTTAGGAATTGCAGCGAGACATATTTTGCCATGGGGGGCTTGCTATCCATCTAATCAAGGATAGGTCCTGTATTTGTGAGGACTGCTTCGTAGTCTTGCAGAGGGATTGGTGATCTACTTTTATTTCAGTTATAGCTTAATTCTTCTTACATTTCTCGTGTAAAGCTCAAAACTCATCTTGACCTAATAAAAATCACCTTACCAGGGTCTCCACATGCATATGTTTTCTCTCAAATATTTATAGTTTAAAAAAATCGTACTATTATTTTTGGCAGGTGAATGCACTTATGAGTATTGAATAAAAGTTAACAAAATATCCATGCATCTGTCCCCTCTTTGTTTGGCTGGATACATAAGAAGTGTTACTTTTTTTCTATAACCATAACCTCCAATATCTTTTTTTCCCCCCTTTTCTCAATGATTGGGCATTCTTTTTCCAATGAGAGGATTCCAATAACAGCTATTAGCAGATGACAATTTAACTCTTCCTCTTTTATGTGACCATTTCCATTAAGAACCTCAGGGAGGATTACCAACAGTAAATACCCAGCAATTTGTGAAATTTGGTAGTAATTGTAATTCTTGATCAATGTTTATGTTGCTTTAAACAAGAGTGCATGCCTTCATTATAAACCCCCTATTCAAATATGCATATGTCATTTCCCCTCACCCCCAATCAGGTATCGTTCAAAGGGCCTGGGTGAGAGTGTTGTAGCTGTCTCTGTTAAACTATGGAGTGTGAAATCTGAAGGCTTTTCTTCTCCTCAGAACAGACCCTGTAGTGTCGCTTAATCACACAAAGAAGGGTAATTTGACAAATGCATTCCGAACTATTCTGCTGTCCTTTTAGAACAGCACGGCAGTAAGCAAGTGACATTGCTCTTTTGCCAACCTTTTCTGTGATCTTTAAAACAGACACCTATCAAATGCCTTTCAAGTTTTCGGCCTAATGAGCCGTTTGTTGAATTTTGATGTGTTTGTTTTGGTAAGAGAAATTCAATTATGCATTTTTATTTTGTTGTGGTAGAGGTGAGTTTTTCAGGGAATTTCTTAACTGTTTCACACATTCTTGCCATAGCCTGGCTTTTTACAATATTTTAAACTTTATCTCCTCCATGAATTATTCAGCATAGGAAAAAACACATGGTAGCCATATAGAAGGGGGAGATTAATTATTCCAGTAACGCTAACCAGCCTAGTCTGCACCCATCCAAAACCATGCTGCAGAATCCCTCAGGTACTATAGAAAAATCACTGCTTAGCTCTTGGTTTGCATTCTGAAATGAAGTTTCTTAAAACATTATACTTAAATTGTGCAATTTATCACTTTTATTGTCTATGCAGTGAGGCAAGGATGTTGTCCTTGTTTTGTTGTGTTGGCAATAAATGTGGCTTTTTTTGTAACCTCATTCTTCACTGAACAAAGAGGAAAGGCCGCAATAGAATGTGGAAAAGCAAATGGAAAATTCCAAGAAGAGCTCAGGTAGCCCCACCACCTATGGATGTTACTCCAGTGGTCACCAACCAGGAGATCGGAATCTACTGGTAGATCTTGGAGCTGTTGACAGGTGATCCTGACAGGATTGGCCAAAAGTGCCAGCACTTCATCTGCCCCTTTCAGCACTGCCATGATGCTCCTGTCCTCTGGCTTGGAGCTGCCCCACCAGTCCCTGGGAGCCTCTCGGGAAGAAGAGGAGGGGGGTGCTGATGTCAGGGTGCCTATCCCCTACCCTGTACCTCATCTCCACAGAGCGGGGGGGGGGG